CCGCACGCACCGACTGCAGGCAGCCCTGCGCCCCCGGCCCCAGGCACGCAGTCGCGCCGTGCCCGGAGCGGGCGCACAGAGGCAGCCCCGGAGCCTTCACCCGGAGCCAGCCGCGCTCGCTCCGTGCCGCAGCCGGCTGCCGGGCGGCCCTCGGTGCCAAAACCCCGTCCCTCCGCACGGCCGTCCTCGCCCGGGGAGGCTGGTGTGAATCTGCGGGAGCGAAGCCGTGCCAGGGACATCAGATGTGTGAAAACTTGCCTTACTAAGGCTAAGTGCATCGCAGGCATTTTCGTCAAGAACAAACAGCTACGAGCTGCCCATATGAGCTGCTCCCCACTTAAGCCAAAAATCGGATGATTTCTGAACGGAAGAAAATCTGTTATTTGAAAAGTGCTTTCAGAAGTACTAACAGGGCAGAATTCCATTAGGACGGAGCTCTTTACATTTCCAAAAGGAACAAACTGATGTGTTAGTCTCTGACAACATGGGACAAGATCTGATGGCCAGGAGGTTCCATCGGTCCCATGTTGTATGCTCTAGACTAACCCATGTGCTGGAAGGAGAGTTGCTAAAAAGCCCTGGTGTAAGTAACAGGACTTCAAGGAAAACCAGAAAATATCCATCCTTTCTAGTGGCTGAAATGCCTGGAGGAAAATCTGTACAGGATAAACTGTGACACGAGTTGGAAAAATCTTCAGTCAAGAACAAAGGTCCATTAGATCTGCTGACCCTGATAGCCAAGGACCTTTCACAGAGGTGGACAGAAGATGGCAAGCTGTGCATTTAAGCTCTTTGCTGTTTCAAGGCAGATTTTTTCTGTATTGTCTCTGATAAATAAATGCACCAAAGCTTGTGACATTTGGCCAGGCACTATTAACTCTGTGATTGTTCTGGAGAAAGATTTACACCGCATGGAATGAACTGCGTTCAAGATGGTTGGGATAGTCCCAATCATTTGCAAAGGGACTCCAACTTAATGTTTCCTCTAAAACTGGAGGAATAGGGGTTTCCATTACTCTTTCCCCTCCCCAGAATAATACAGCTTGATGCTGAAGGGGTGCTGCACAAAGAGGAAAGACGTTCAGCCCAGTACAAGCCCTTGCTCACTCATTTTACCACTACTCCTCTCACTCAGCTCCCTCAGGTGCACAGCTGGTGTCATTGCCAAAACACAGCTCCCCATGCAGTGGACTTGGATAGGTGAGCATTAAAAGTCTGTTACAGCCCAAATTATTATGATTCTATGATTCTCAGCCCAGCACTCCTTGCACACGTGTCCAACCCCTCTCACACACACGCATCTCCATAGCCTCACTGGCATTCTGCCTGCACATTTTTTCTTCCTCCTTACCTTCCTCCAATGTGCATATCTGAGGTCTGCATTAATCAGTGCTCAATACTTGCTGCCTTAGAGGAGAAAACAACCACCACAGGCTGAAACAGCACATCAGTCCTCAGGTCATTCCCTCTTTCCTCCCACTATTCTTTGCAATGCAGCAGCTGAATGGGAGGCTACAAAACAAGGTGAGGGGCATGGGGACAACTCATCATGGTCTGTGCCACTGGAGGATGCTCCTGATCCCACACAGAAGCAACCAAGGTATAAACCAATAGTGCTGTGCTCCCTGATCAAGCTCCACTGAATCCTTTAGCCTAAACTGAAAGTGGGAAAAAGGATAGCATTTAATCCCAAAAGCATGTGCAAAGTTGCAGCAGTTGGTCTGAGACTGCTGTTCAGAAGTTACCAGATTATTAAAAATAATTAATTTAAAAAAAAACCCAAACAACACTATAAGATTGTCCATTTGCACAGAAAACAATATTAGGAGATATAATAAAGGTATGAAGAGACCTTAGAATGTTAGCCCTGTTTATGGCAGAAATAACCAAATTGGGGATTGAATAAACTTGAAAACTAAAGAATTTACGAACTCCAGAGGGTTTATTGGAAAAGTGAATAGCTAGGACTACGTATTTATTGCACTAGGATAGATGATTTTGTCTTCAGGTTTTACGTGTTGAGGGAGGCAACACAAAGCTACTGAAAGTTAAATTACCTTAAATAAATTTAAAATCCTTTGTGCATTAAGTTTACCTGTTGTCCATTGTCTTCAATTATTCACATTATACCTTGCTTTCAGGATTAGAAAATAGTGAAAATGTGTCTCGTGTATTAGTATGGTAATTATGCCAAGATTTTTCCTAAACCATAGAGAATGAAAAATAGTTTCAGGGAGTGGACAATGGTGGAGACCTCAGCAAATGTTTAACTCTTTCCCTACTGTCACAGCCCCTTCTCTGTGTGCTCATGTACGATTTTGCAATATTTCTGCTTTAGCTAGAAAAAATTAAAAGCAGAGATTGTTCTAGCTCTTTCTGGCAACTAATTTTACCATGTTTAATAAGAGAGTCAGAAGAGAAGGATTGTAATCTGAAAGGGAAATAACTCTGCTGTGATTACACATACCTTGGCTTTCTGGTTCATACTGGCTGTAAGCCAATCAAGTGGATTCAAATACCCATGAGCAGAATACAGGAAGTTTTAGAAATCAGGGGGAAACATTCTGTGTAGTTATTGTGCATTATTCCTTTGCTCTGATTAACTGTTATATTTGAATATATAAATAGAAAATATAGATAATGTGGTCATGAAAAATCCTTACTTTGTCTGGCATGAAAATAAAGGGCAAGATATCTTTAAGAGTATCCTCTTTCAAGAATAATTTGGTCATTAGTTATAGTGAATTCAAGCATACCGTATAAACAGTATAACATTTATGGGAATTAGGTTTCTTGCTGAA